GTTTTGGGTCATGGTTGTTCTTGGGTTGTTTCCGGTGGTTGTTATGGGTGCTGATGACACCAAGTTTGTGTTCAAGGGTTGTGCAGATCAGAAATTTCAAGACCCATCTGATGTTTACACACAGAACTTGAATACCCTTTTATCTACCTTGGTTTCACAGTCGTCTGAGAAGACTTTCTCGACAACGACCTCCGGTCAGGACCAGAGTGCCATCACAGGTGCATACCAATGCAGGGGAGACCTCACCACGGACAAGTGCTCCACCTGCGTAAGCAAGATCCCGAAAATGATTGAAAAACTCTGCGGCAAATCGATAGCAGCCCGGCTTCAACTCAACGGCTGTTACCTCGAGTATGAAGTATCCTGGTTCAAGCAGGTTGCAGGCACTGAGTTCCTGTACAAAGTTTGTGGGTCGTCTCAGGAGACCGGAAGTGAGTTCGAGAACAAAAGGGACACGGCGTTCAGCATGGCGGAGGACGGGGTGAAGAACGGAAGTGGACTGTTCTATACCGGAGACTACCAATCGTTGTATGTGTTGGGGCAGTGCGAAGGCGATTTGGGGGCAAATGACTGTGGAGATTGCTTGAAAACCGCCTTCCAAAGGGTGAAAGAGGAGTGTGCAGATTCAATTTCTGGGCAGGTTTATCTCCAGAAATGCTACATTAGCTACAGCTACTATCCAAATGGGCTTCCCAACATATCTTCATCTTCTTCACCAGGTAAAGCTAGAGAGTAAACAAAAAAAAAAAAACATATTGTTTTCTTAGTACTTTTTTTTTGTTTTTTTTTTTTTAACAGGGGGCAATTTGGGGAAAAGGGGATGAGGGCTGCTATTGCAGCTTTAACTTTAGCTTAAGCTAAGAGTTAGGTACACTTAGACCAATGCAGCGAAAGCTGCGGATGCTTCTTAATATCTTATTTACCTGTTGAAACCCCTGAAGATTTCAGTATCATGCCTTTACCCATATCTCTTAGTTTTTGTTTGTTTCTTGGGAAAATTTTTAAATAATGAGGGGATGTGGACAGATGGGTATTGGTGGTTTTTTATTTTATTGTGCTTAGTCAAAAAGTTTGTGTCTTCTCTGTTCTGGTTCTGGGGTTTTCTTTTGGTCTTATTATTTTTGCGGACAAATAATCCCTTTCTTCCTCGCCATCTTCTTGTTCTCTTTTAGTATGACTGAGGTGGTGTTTTGATAGATGCAGAGGGCAAGAAGCAGCATACTCAGAGGACGGTGGCGATTGCGGTGGGGGGATTGGCGGCTTTTGGGTTTGTGGTCGTTTGTTTGATGTGTATTAAGTCGGTGATGAAGAAGCAGCGTCATCAACACCGTAGTAGCAAGTACGATGGCTAGAATTCACCCAAAGAAACAGACTTTCTCATGGGTTTGTTGATGAAGATTTTGGCTATAGGGGCTGTATAGTTTTTCATCATCACACTTGGGAAAAAGATTACTAAATCATTTAGTTTTTTAATCATTTAGTAGTGCTTACGTATATAGTTACATTACTATTGAATAGAGAATGTTTTTTCTTGGATCGTGGAGAAAGGTAGGTAGGTGGGTGGGTGGGTGGGTCTAATGTTAGGAAAAGCTTCAAAAGGAAACCGCTTTTGATTTTTAGAAAAGAAAACAGAAGATTGGGAAATGTGAAGGATGGCAACACGCATATTCAGTACTAGCTTAAGCTTGTTTGGTTTTATAGAGTAATTTGCATGTTTGCCAATATGAGAACCTTTTTTTTTTCAAAAAGAGGAGATTTTAATTTAAAGGTTAGGCTGTGATTGGTTAGCACCGCCAACTCGGGCCCTGAGTATATTTAACATAAGGAGAAGGAGCAGAGGAAATTTAATTGGATAAAAATTTTTCCCATCCTGTCTTCTTCATTTTCTTCAAACCAACAAGCTCGGAATCTTTAACCTTTTAAACCCGGAAGCAGAATTCCCGAACAAGTGAGGGTATTTTGAGACAGGTGGACTGGGCAGTAGCTTTTCCCGGAGTGTACTAACCAAACACGGCCTAAGAAAAACTTGTTCAGTAAACACTTCATGCGTTTATATTATATTGATTTACAGCTAATTACGCGTTGTGTTTTGGGATTAATGCTGTTCGGTAAAAGGGACATCACTAAACATTTTTTAAAAGCAAATACCAACTAAATGGCTTTAAAATACGGGTGTGAAAATGAGGTGGAAAGCATGCATTGTAGCCTCGCTTTTTTTGTTTTCAGATTGTCTTGGTGATTAAGGAAGAACAACTCAAAATCATTAATCCACGAGTTTCCTCCAAGGGTCCCACGATGTCCTCATATTTGAAGCTATCAACGAAGATATTTCCAGAAATGTGCTGTTTCCAAACACTGATAGGAAATTAGCAGGTTAAGACAATCATCTTTCTCACCCCACATCAAATCATTTTTTGTTCCAGCCGTCGGTTCGATTGATCACCAGCTGTAACATCTCGAAGCTTCCTAATTGACTTAAATTTGTGACTGGGATTCTAAAGTACTAACACCGGCTGTAGATCTATCAAGAATAGGAAATCTAACCACATTATACAGCTACAGCATGCTTGCATTCCAGGACAACAACCCTTTTACAATGGCAACTATTGCATGAGGACTAGATCTCAAGTCCTAAACCTCACCCAAGTCCTAGCCCTCCTATCTGTTTTTTCTTTTTTTTTATAAGAACAATGGTTAGTAGGTTAGTTTTTATTAGTTGTTAACAACTGAGGATTCGATCCTCAGATTTAGTGAACATCCCACCTCTCTCAATCTCCCTCAATGAGGCGCACAGCCCATCGGGCCGCTTGGTGTTCCTAGCCCTCCTATCTGGAAAAAATCAAACTAGTAAATCCTAGCCCTCCTATCTACCCACCTAAGTCCTAGACCTCAAGGGTTTACAAGATTGAATGGGACAGTTTTCTCCAAGATTATTTCAATCACTGTACAACCTAAGGAAGAAATCACTATGCAACCTAAGGAAGAAATAAAGGAAAAACATGCATGCCTATAGCACAAGCCTGCCGCTCAATCAATTCAACACAGAAGAAAACAGGAGAAACCAACTCAACAACCCCCAGGATTAGTTCATATCATGGAAAAGAACATTGGGATTGAAATTTACTTGTAAAATATAAGATACCATGTTATCAAAAATGAACTTCAAAAATCAGTGTCCTATCAACTACTTTCACCGACATGGGGCAAATATTACTCCAAAGTTAGTTAGGTTCCATTGCAAGCAATTTCTAGCCTTCAAGAGAACTGTAAATATGGAAAAAGTATTTCATCATAATACCTCAGCCTACCCCAAGGCCCCTAGCTTTCAATCCCACATATGATTAAAATTTAACCAGGTTAAGGAGAATTTTAGGAACCACAAAAGAAAAAGGTGATTATCAAACCAACGACCTATTGATCCGAGTGAAAGGAACTCGGTTTCACTTAAGCAAGATCTCAAGTTCGAGTCTTGTAAATGGAGAAACAGGTGTTGGGAGAGTTTTCTTCCTAATGGAGTCCGACGCAGCTCGATTCTAGATGGTCGAAACCCGTTGTTTACTGTAACATCACTGGTAAATTATAATATAATCCATAATAAAATGATCAACAAAATTAAAATCACCTTAGGAGCTATGTTAGACATGCCAGTGAGAGATTTTGGAACTAAGATTGCGTTCAAGGCATGTTTAGCAGATTCATAAAGCAAGAAAGCGCAAGCATTAACCGAATGAGGTTAGAAAAAAATCAGGTAACAGTTCTATTGATGGTTGCTTTGCTTTTTCAGCATACACTAGCTGCTATCGAAGCCAAGCTTAATAGTTTGGACATAGTTGCTTATAGGTCTTGAACACTGTCCTATGTTAGCTTTGAGGCATTGGTCCAGATTTTTATCTAACTAGCCTCATTCCCTAGCATTTGTGGTCAGCAGCTTTTTTTTTTCCTTTACGAAAAATAAACAATAAAATGAAACACTAATCTTCAAACATAAAGACAGGGTACAAACTACTTGCAAAGTTACCAGTCAATTCAACATCACAGGGAATCACCCAAATTGATCATTCAATTGAAATTTCAGAAATTAAACAAAACTATGCCCTTCACCCACTGATGCATTATATCTGCTAAAAGACATGCGGATATATTGGATATATCAATGATTCAGTGTTCACATCACAACAATGTAAAACCATCCTTGGCACTTTCAAATGCCTCTGCATTATGTTAAGGGAAGGCAACACACAATACCAAAATTCTGAACCCATAGATTAGCCCCATAAAATCCAGTGAATATTCACTCCCACACTAACACAATCCAAAACCAGAAATGAGCAAAGCCTCCAAATTTCATAAAATTATGTCCAAAAGCTCTAAAGACAACACAAGAGTAGAACCACTTAATAAATTGACCCCCTAAGAGAAACTAAATCTAAAAACTCAGGTTGCGCAGGCGCATTCAAGTGATTACAGAGCAAGCAGATCTCCAATTGGGGAAAATCAGGAAAAGAAAGAACCTAAAACGATGCTAAATTATTCAGACAGAGACTGATACAACACGGAAACACGCTCTAACCTGGGACCGATCACTTGTGAGCTGGGGCAGCTGGAGGGGCTCCGAGGAGGCTGGCCTGCTGAAGCTCGAGCTCGTTGAGCTGCTGCTCACGGTCCATCTCGATAATCAAGGGGACGACTAGAATCAAAAAGGTGGTACCAGCGATCCACGCGGCTTTTCCAGTGCTGCGCAGGAGCTTCTTGGAGACGAACGCGGCGTCGCAAGCCGCTTGCCTGCCACGAGACACAATCGGGGAGCTTGTAATCTTAGCTAGAATGCCGGATTCGGGCTTCGATGAACCTCGCCTTTCCGGGAGGGAAACGCCGCCTCTTCTGGGTTGGGTCGCCATTGCCGGAGGCTATTGCGGGATTGAGAAACAAGGGTTTTGGTGAAAGGGAGAAATTGTCAACAAAATCATATGGGGTTTAGATTTGTTTTCAGGAAAAATGCCAAACTACCCAATCAACCCTTGTACTTATTAGTGATAATTCATTAAGTCCACTTATCTTTTATTGTATTAAAGTAGGGTCTTACTTAAATATAGGGTTTAGATTTGCTTGCATAGTTCGTGTTCAATATGTTTTTTTGGTAATTTTTTTTTCTCCTTCCAAGTTCCAACACTTATAGCATCATTTTTATTTTTTTGCAACAATTTGTTTTTTTTTTTTCCCCAATTGTTACATTTGAATATGCTTAAAACACCAATTTAGCGATATAGTTAAAAAATTCAATCAATTAAAATTTTAGTTAAACAAGTCAATTTGTTTGCCCGTTGAACCGAGCTTCACCAGTTAAATGAGTTAGCTTGTACTAAGTTAGAAACTAGTGAATATTCACATGAATCCAGTTTGTGTGGGCAAGTTAGCATGTGTAGTCGTCAATATAGAATCAGATGAGATCCTTCTTATAAAGTTTAAATACTATTTAATCTATTTTAAAATAATAGATGTTTGTTTTATTTAGATTTTGTTATAAAATAATAGTTTTTTATTTAGATTTTTGTTCCTTATCTTAATTAATTTAAATATTTTAATTTCTCATCTTATACTATAAAATTTTTTACTTATAAACTTAAAATTTTGAAAATTTTAATCTCTAAACTAATAAAATCTATTAATTTTTTTGTTAAATTAAAAATAAAATATTTACATGATTAGTCATTCAAAATTAAAAATGTAACAATTTTAATTTTGAAAGTTTAAAAATTAAAAAATTAGTAAATTAAAAATAATTAATATATGACTTTATCATGTACATGAGAATACTATTAGATATCTACAATTTAATCTAGTGATTAACTCAATCTAGATAAAGAAATCTGATTGAGATTAAAAAAAAAATTAACTGAATTCTTTTAGTCTCTTAAACTTTTTGTTTTAACTCAATTAAGAAATTTTTTTAAATCTCAACAAGAATTCTTTTTTTAAATTAAGCTAATCACTTGATTTGATTATAGATATTTAATTTTGTTCTAGTGTATTTGATTTTTCTTAACTTTTAAACTTTTTGGAACTAAATTGTTAAATTTTTAATTTTAGTTTGATGACCAATTCTATAAAACTTAATTATATTAGAATATATAATATTAATATTTAATAAGATGAATTTTTAAATTTTGAATTGAGATTTTTGTTTTTAAATATAAATTAAAATACTAACTTTTTTAAAAATTATGATTAATACACACTAATCTCATAATATAATTTAAGTTATACAATATTTTTTTTCTTTTAAATAAATAAAGATTTTTCTATTTTGAACCCCCTTATTTGTTAGGCAAGTAGGAAACGGAAAACCTGTGTTTCAAGGGAAGTCCATTCTAAAATTGTATTTGTTCCCCTAATAATCTTCAGAAGAACTCAAAAACCAAGCCGCTTTACGTACGTCTCCTTCCCTCTCGTTTTCTCCTCACTGTAGCCTGTCTTCACCGTCGCGGTGAATGTGAGTACGTTTAGGGGTTTTTAGCACTACGAAACGTTGCGCTAGGGTTCCATTATACGATTGATCTGAATCTCACATTCATCGATCGATATTGAATTTTTTTTTTTTTTTTTGAACATAGGGGAATTTGAGGATAGAGGATTTAGTTTTCTTAGTTGGAGTCGAACTCCCGATTAACTGCGCTCAAGCACTGAAGACTTACGAACGAACCATTGGGTCCGAAAGGTTGGATTATCTATATTGAATCTTATTTAGGTGGAACTTTTAATTTCAGTTTTGTTCATATCTAATTTGAATTTAAGTTTCCATCGGTAGAACTTTCAATTTTGTTTTTTTTTTTTTAATGTTTTTGATCTGAGACAAGGTTGATAGTATGGCGAAACGACTGAAGATTTCTGATGAAAAGGAGAAGATGATAGTATCTAAGATGGGTTGGGGAGATCTAGGTAGTGACCTGCTACGAAAAATTTACAGATTGCTAACTCCGGAAGAATTACTACCCATGACTTCAGTTTGTCAATGGTGGAGATCGTTGTGTATGGATACTTTGTTTTGGAAGAATCAGGAGTCGCTTAAATTAAGCAACTTGAAGCTTTTCCTTGGCGAACAAGCCAATTCTGAAAAGTTGCTTCAGGGACTGCAACTCGTGGTGGATGCGAATGCAGCACAACTCCACCAACAATGTGCTAAGAAGATCAAATTTCCTTACAATTATAATTTCTATTATGAGCATCTGAATTTTCTTGCTGAGAGGTATGTTTCTGATTTTCCTCTTTTATATATTCATGCTTCGTTGCATCTAGAATAAGAACACATTAATACTATTTTTAGGTAGTTAGGCTCTTGACATGTACGTATAGTAGCCGCCAATGAAATCTAATTTTAGTAATCTTAGAAAAATTTTGTGCCCACATCAAAACTAGTGGACTAGTGACGAGAGATGGCAAGATAGAGAGCGGTATTGATTAGTCATGGAGATTCACTTGATAGTTTAATCTTTTGGATGAACCAGTTTTGGACTGAAAAAGAAAATGTCTTTTTAATATGGAGCCCTTTAGACTTATCTTTGTTTGAATTGATCAGGTTACCAAAGGTCAAAAAGGTTAAAATCTGTTGTCCGGTTTACACAAGAACAACTGATGTTACTGATGTTACAGAGGCGATCCAAAAGTGGGAGGATCTTGAACACCTGTTAGTGGGACCATTTCATAATAGTATAATACGAAATTTCATTCCAGCAATTGGCAGAAGTTGCAAGAATTTGAGTGTGTTATGCTTAGAAGATTTTATGGGCGCGTCCCATTATCGATTCAAACTGGATGACGATAATTCTTTACTGATAGCAAAGAATCTTCGTCGGCTCAGGGTTCTTAAATTGCAAGGTGCATTGATTTTCAAACCTGGTCTTCAAACCTTCTTGCGTGAGTGCGAGCTGCTTGTAAAGCTCTGTTTCACAAGATGTCTCAGAGTGATAGATGATTTGGAACCTTCTTTCCGATGTTTTAAGCTAACAATATCACTGAAGGTTGAAAAGGTCGTAGCAGATGACTGCACTGGGTGGTCTATTGATTCTGGGGAGAAGATGGATACTCCAGAAGAAGTGATGAATCACATATGGAGTATGAAACATTATGACTTGGTAATTGAGTTAAGGAAAGTTCTACCTAAACGCAATGGTTATGCCATGGTGGAGTTTGCGTCACTATTGTAAGGTTCATACCATGATATCTTGATTTCTTTTTTTACTGAAGTACATGATCATTCTATTCACAATTTATTCTTGTTAAGTAATTATCGTGATTTTGTCTTATTTTCCATAGTTTGATCTAGCAAATTTTAATGAAAAATGGAAGCTTTTCAAATTTACAATAAATTGATATGAAAGGGTATCTTGTGCTCCATTGATCATGAAAAAATAAAAAACAGAAAAAGTTTAGAGTATCTTTTTATTTATTTTTAATTAAAAGTATATAGTCAACTTGGTTATTGTCATTATTTAATTTAATATCACCAATTTATTTATAATTTTGTCATTTTATAGTTTTTTTTTACAATAAGTATAATATTTGAAAAAATATATTTATAAATTAATTTTAATTTATCAAGTAATAAATATTAATTATTTTAATAATTAAATTAAAATAAAAATTTAGTAATTTTTTTTTTATAAATTTAACAAATTAAATAGTAGCTGTAATCATAAGTGTAGGGTTGACTCTAAACCCTATTGTAAGTTTTATTTAGTTAGAATTGAAGAAATGACATTTTAAAGTTTCTCCATTCTTGGACTAATGCGAAATTGAAATGGAAATTACACATTCAACTACGCAAGTATAATTTGTCAAAAAAAAAAAAAAAAGCTACTCAAGCACAATACACAAAGTGAAAAGAACTTGAAGAAATTTGAACTCAACCCTATGATTTTAAAGTTCAGTTTCTAAATCCATAGGATCTGTTGATGATTAGTCATTGCGTTTGCCTTGTTAGAATGAACAATGTGTTACTTATCTTTAAACGTACTACTAAAAGAATGTCTCTAATACTTAAAAATTTGAAATTTTAATTTTTACTCTCAATTTTAGATTTTATGATGAATAAAAATGAACTTGAGAACAAGAAGTATTACAAGTCATTTTAATGATTAAAAATTTAAGTTTTTATTTTTAAAATTTTAAATTTAAATTTTGAGATAATTAAAAAATAATTTTAAAATAAGAGGGCTATTCAATGTAAAAATTAACAATAATAATAAAAAAACCCATTGTCATAGCCTTAATCTTAGATTAGTAAAAAAATGGAATATGTTGATTCGAGTGAAATAAATTTAATTTTTTTAAAATAAAATTTAAATTTTAAATTTTATAAATAAAAAAATAAGTATTGATAGAATTTTTCTATAAAAAATATGATATAATTTGATTTCAAATTAATTAAAATTAAATAAAATTACCAAATTTCAAAAAATTAATAGTTAAAATGAATGTCGTAGGTAATTGGGCCAAAAAGGGCCCACTGATTTAAACGTAAGATCCACTCAACACTGATATTCCACCTGCTCACCAACTCATCCCATGTTATCCCTTCAATAGTCACCGCTGTCAGAACTCTTCTGCCATGTCAAATCACTACATTACCCCTTCCCCATATTTTTTCTTCTCTGCCGCATGCCGCAATTCCATTAAAATCGAAGCCTATTTCAGTATTTCTCCAATTTTAATAACAAAAATGAAAATAAGCTGACAATTTTATTTAACTATGGTTAAAATTTGTTTGGCAGGAATTAACCGCGGTTAACTAACTCTAGTTTACGGAACCGCACTTCTCCATTTCCATCCTTCCAAATCTCCTATAAAAACCTCACCAAGGGAAATCTGAAATCTCACCTCCTCAAAGGCGTCTTGATAAACGCCCATCTCTTCCGAGTTCTTTTTCCCCCCCTGCTAATTTTCTTTGTTCTTTTGATTCTTTTTCTAGCGAAAATGAGAGAGTGCATCTCGATCCACATTGGTCAGGCCGGTATTCAGGTCGGCAATGCATGCTGGGAACTTTACTGCCTCGAGCATGGAATTCAGGTATTCATTTTCTCTACCGATGCTTAAACGTTTCTGTTGATTTCATTTTCTTCGCCGGTAAACTAGTTTTGGTGAATTTTATGCGATCGCAGAGGTGTTGATTTGGATTTTCTAAGCCGGATGTTTGTAATTCGTTGAGCTCTTAAGATTTTCTTCCTGAAATGGAATTCATTAGATCTAGATCTGTTGATTTTTATATATTGCATTATGTTTCACATTTGTTTCTGAAATGAAATTCGTTGAATCCAGATCTGTTGATGATATGATTTGCCTTTTTTTTTCTCTTTTTTTTTTCTCATTTCTTGTTGAAATGGAACTTATTCGATCTGGATCTGTTGATGGTTAGTTATTTCATCATGCCTCTGTATTTGATTCTGAAATGGAATTCATTGATATAGATCTGTTGACATTAGATTTTGCATTGTGTTTTTTGAAACGGAATTCATCAGATTTGGATCTGTTGATGATTAGTTATTGCATTTGGTTCATGAGTATGATTACGAAGAATGTGTTAGTTCAAATGATCTCTTGGTAACTCAAACTTAGCTAGATCTATTGTTAGCAATTTAGCATGTGCTTATATGGTTTATTTAGCTATTATTATGATTTAGTCATTTTGGCATTACGAGGGCTTATAATTCATTCATGTCTTATTATGATTAGCCTTGTCTATTGTCTATTATGATTTTGAATTTCTCACTAATTTCTATCACTCTAAATTTTCTCTTTCAGCCTGATGGCCAGATGCCAAGTGATAAAACTATTGGAGGAGGAGATGATGCCTTCAACACCTTTTTCAGTGAAACTGGTGCTGGGAAGCATGTCCCTCGTGCTATATTTGTTGATCTTGAGCCTACTGTGATTGATGAAGTGAGGACTGGAACATACCGCCAGCTCTTCCACCCTGAGCAACTTATTAGTGGCAAGGAGGATGCTGCCAACAACTTTGCTCGTGGCCACTATACTAGTAACTATTACTGCCTTGTTATCTTTTGTGTTTTTTCATCTTGCAATTTCCATTTGATCTGGGTTCTAATGGCTCCTTTTTGATGTAACAGTTGGCAAGGAAATTGTTGATCTCTGCCTGGACCGTATTAGAAAGCTTGCTGACAACTGCACTGGTCTGCAAGGATTCTTGGTATTCAATGCTGTTGGAGGTGGTACTGGGTCTGGTTTAGGATCACTTCTGTTGGAGCGTCTCTCTGTTGACTATGGCAAGAAATCAAAGCTTGGTTTCACTGTGTATCCCTCACCCCAGGTCTCCACATCTGTTGTGGAGCCTTACAACAGTGTCCTTTCAACCCATTCCCTCCTTGAGCATACTGATGTTGCTGTGCTGCTTGACAATGAGGCCATATATGACATTTGCAGGCGCTCCCTAGACATTGAACGCCCCACTTATACCAATCTTAACCGTCTGGTCTCTCAGGTAACAAATAGAAAGAGTTCCTTTCTAGTTCAAATTTCATTTACATTATATCAGGCGAATGTTTAGTATATGACTGCTGATTGGCTTGTATTTTTCAGGTCATATCATCTCTCACTGCATCTTTGAGGTTTGACGGAGCCCTTAATGTTGATGTTACTGAATTCCAGACCAACCTTGTGCCATATCCAAGAATCCATTTCATGCTCTCCTCCTATGCCCCGGTCATCTCTGCAGAGAAGGCTTACCATGAGCAACTCTCTGTGGCTGAGATCACCAACAGTGCTTTTGAGCCTTCATCCATGATGGCCAAATGTGACCCACGCCATGGCAAGTACATGGCTTGCTGCCTTATGTATAGAGGTGATGTTGTGCCCAAGGATGTTAATGCAGCTGTGGCCACCATTAAGACCAAGCGCACAATCCAGTTTGTTGACTGGTGCCCTACTGGATTCAAGTGTGGCATCAACTATCAGCCACCAACTGTTGTACCAGGAGGTGATCTTGCCAAGGTGCAGAGGGCTGTCTGCATGATCTCTAACTCAACCAGTGTCGCTGAAGTGTTCTCTCGCATTGATCACAAGTTTGATCTCATGTATGCTAAGCGTGCCTTTGTGCATTGGTATGTTGGTGAGGGCATGGAGGAAGGAGAGTTCTCAGAGGCTCGTGAGGATCTAGCTGCTTTGGAGAAGGATTATGAGGAGGTTGGTGCAGAGTCTGCTGAGGGAGAAGATGGTGACGAAGGAGATGAGTACTAAACTAAGTGTCCCTGTGCCTTCATAATGCTTTTGCTATAGCTGTGTGGTATTGGTTTTTCGGATGTTGCTTTGAGTGTATTTCTGTTTTCAGACTTGGTGCCTGGATTGAATCTCTCATTTTCTGTTTCAATTTGGATTTTCTTGGTGCCATTTCTCTATTTCTTCATCACCAATATATAATTTTATTTCGTGATTTTAACCTGGGCTTTCGTCCTCCACATTTTTCTTGCGACTAGCGGCTGGTCATTAGTATTTTGAGACCTCTGATTTGTGTTTGGTAAATTTAAGTCCTCTAAACAAGAAAATCGTTTGGTAATTTTTGAACAAATAGTAAATAATCGTTTGGATAAATTGAGTTGGTTATACGTATCTGCTTCAATGAAACAACATTTATTTTTGGTTAATCAATGTTATTGTGATTAGTGTTTACTAGCCTTACTTTAAAAAAATTAAGAAAAAAATCATTATAAAATTATGTTTTAATCATTAAAAATATATTAAAATAACATATTTTTAAAATAGAAGTCTTATTGTTTAGGTATTTTTTTGATGGTACTAAATCAACTTAGTTCAAAAGTATTTTCTCTTTAATTTTTTGAAGTAAGATTAATAAGCATTAATCTCAACCTTTGATATATATTTTTTACCCCAACAAATGAAAATGGAAAAAAAATGAATGGTTAAAATAAACTCCATGGTTCTGAGTGGAATTTTCAAATTTCAAGGGGCCAAAGAGGGGTGCAATATTAATTTTTTTTAATAATAATTCAATTTTTATATTTAGAATTTAAAGTATGGGGTTAGTATAATGTAAATTACCCTCTCAAATTTTGTTTGGCTCTAAAAATTTATTTTTTAATTATTATTTTTAAAAATTAATTAAAAGTTCTATTCATATAAATTATGCATGTTAAATTTAATATTAATCTGATATTTATAACTATTTAATTAAAAAAATTATATCTATTAACATGTATTTAATGGTAAT